TGTTTGTAAAAATAAAAATAATTTTTTGTTTTTTGAAAAACAAAAGTAAAAAAAATAAAAATAGACATTTTGTTTTTTTTTTTCAGTTTTTGACCAAAATTTGCTTTCATTTTGCAAATTGAGTTTTTTATACGACTAAAAAATTCAAATTTCAACTTTCATTATAGCTTATACAACACCGAATTTTTATTGTTAAAATTTTCGCTATATATACATACATAAGAGTTTTTTTTTATACACTTTCCATGTGTGTTTATAAGATTTTTATGAAAAAAAACTTAAAAGATCTCACCAATTAATTGAAATCTTAATCAGTTTTATTCCTCGGTAACCTTACTGTAACTAGAATGTAAATTTTCGGGTTCAGTTTAAGCAGAAATTTCTGAACATTATAAATTCAACTGCTCTACATAGTGTGTAAAACCTTCTGTATCTATATTTGGAAATATCTACGTAGGACATGCATACATATATAGTAGCTGTGTCGTTTTTTTGTAGAATCTTTTACACAATTTTTTTATTCAAACTGTAAATTGAATAACAGTTTGTTCAACTATAAAATTTATTCAAAATCCTATAAAAAATACATGACAATAGATTAATTTCGCGTGGTTTTTTAGATCATTATTTGTTCTTCCCAAGAGTTCATTTTTCCAGTTTCTTTTTCATTACATTCAAATATTTCATTTACCGTACAAACAACATTTTTAAATATTAAAATTCTGGTGCTCACTAATTTAAAAGACCAAAGTTTTTCAATTGAAAAACAAACTCAATTTCGGAACTTTCATAAAGGAATTCAATGAACACTGCTTTAATTTATAAACGGATAGAAATTTTTCTAACTCTTTCGATTTATCACAAGCCATACTTCTACATAAATTTTTTTAAAACGGTCAAATAACCTGGTAAATTTTTTAAAAGAATAAAATATATAATTGAAAACGTATTAATTCTTCTAATATTCAGTACGAATAATTAGTTCGGCTTCTGACAACCGAAACATACTAAATACTTATGAATCAAACAAATTTTTCCTTTTTTCAAACATTTTTAAATGATCTGGCATAAGTTTAAACTAATTCGAAAAATGAAGAGCTTGGAAAAGCTACATTGTACCACGTGTGCATACATAAGACAGAAACTACACGTTATAAATAAGGCAATTATTTCAAATGGTGAAAATTTATTAATCAAATACTTTTTGAAGTTTCATTATTTTGAAAATTCTTCACGATTTATTTGAAAATTTGAGAGATTCAAAAATTCGCTTTCTATAAAACAAACGCAATGTAAAGTTGCGCAGTAATTCCAGACCGTCCAGGAAAATTGTCATTATTGGGTGAGAAAAGAAAGCATGGTCGCACCATATATGGAATTTACATTTTTCAATATTATTTACTAAACTGTTCTACGTATACACTTTATATCACATTTTTAGCACTTTTCCAAAAATTTTTTTGAAAAAAGTGCTTATTAGTTTCACTCTGTCCGTCCGTCCGTCCGTCCGTCTGTCCGTGTGTCTGTTTACAAAACTTCTACACCTTTGAAGATAGAAAGCTGAAATTTAATACGTACATAGATCTTCACTAGAAACTTATTTCCGTAGAACAAAATTTTTACCAATCTCCCCCCCCTCTAGAAGTTATACCCCCCCAAAACCCTAAAAATGGCCTTTTTTAAATATTTGTTGCAATGAAAACATAAGCATTTTTGAAATTTTGCAAACGCAGAAAGGCAGTGGCTTGCTTCCCCTTGCGCGGTATACTATAGTTCAACTTAAGAAAAACAAAATGGCCTCTCAAATTTACCGTTATTTAAAGTCCTTTTTTCCAAATTTTTGATGTCGTTTTTCTTCTAGACCCCAGACTGTAGAAGCTTGAAATATTAGGAGCTTTTAGATATTAATAAATAGTTCATTTTGTTAGAAGAAAATTTTTTTCCATCTCCACCCCCTCTCAAGTTATCACCTCTTGAAATTCGTAAAATTTGAATTTTTGACACCTTATATTTCCGAAACCGCAAGCTTTTCCAAATTTTTATAAACGCAAAAAGCTAACGGTAAATTCCGTGAAATTAAAAAATATAATTATTTTTCTTAACTCACACAATTAACCCTTTAAATCGAGCATTATGTTAACCCCTCTTTATATTAATTTTTGCTTTATTTCAAAGACTGCATATATGCGTCATCCTAAATATATGCAATCCTAGAAATAGTTTTGTATATGAATGAAAATAATTTTAATAGTGTGATAGCTATACATAGACTGTATTTAGAAGCAGAATTTTCACTTATTGAAGGGAAAAGTGCTACAATACAAACCATTGGTTTGACCCAACTTTATTTTTTCCTGTAAACAAAAGCGTAAAAAAAATTGTAAAGATGAGCAAGATTTGAACAAGAGGGTTGTAAAATAAAAATATAAATTTCTTGACAGCTAAAAAGTACTTTCACTTTAGTTAAACTAAGAACTGCTAAAACACAATTGTGAATTTTCAAAAACATCCATTTCGATGCCATCAAATTTAAATCGAAGTACATTGTATTTAATTCGGAAAATCAAATAAACTTTCATTGAGTTACTGCAAATCTTAAAACCATCACCAAATTGCAAGAGAAAAATTTCTCTTTATACTTATTGTGTGCCTTACAGAGTTAAATTTCGAAGTAATTGGACCGCAATTTTTTTTCTAAAATTTCGGATTAAGTGTGAGAATTCATATGAGTGTTGTTAATAAAAATTCAAAACAATGACAATTATTCTATCGAAGCAATGTCAAAAATTTTGTCCTCCCCTCTTCAGAGAAATTCATAAAAAATTAATAAATAAAACAAATTGTGTTTGTTGCAAAAATTATGCGAAAAGTTATACAAAAAATATACTTTTCTCCAATTTTATTATTTCTTTTTTTTTTTGTTTAAATTTTTTTTTCCGTTTCTATTTTAATAAATTTTTTCGTTAAAATTTAATCATTTCTTAGATTTTATCATCTAATTTTTTAATTTTTTTTTTTTTGTGAGAAAATTGTGTGATACAAAATAAATATTGAAAAAATTTTTTTACGATTATTTTTTTTTTCTTTTTGGAATCATCAATAATGCCAAACTTAAAAATTTCAAATTAAAAATAAAAATTGAAGAAGAAATTTTATAAATTTGATATGGAAATAAAAATAGCACAGATTTTTTTAATTTAGATTTACTTAATTGCAGTTTCACAAAACATTCTCTAATTTTTGTTTTTATATGTGATTTTTATTTTATATCATATTTCTTTTGTAGTTATTTGTTACATATTTCTTTAAAATTATGTTTTAATTGTGTGTAGACCTCACAAATTTCATTAAATTTTACATGTATTTTTACTATTTACAAAAAATTAAAAAAAAATTTTTTTGCATATAATATATTATTATATGTATGTTAATTTATATGTAAGATTTGTATTAATTATTTAAGAAAAAAAAATAGTTAAATTCTCAATAAACTAAAAATAAACTTTAAAATAAAGAAAAAACAAATTAATAAAAAGATTTTTTATAATATCATCTAGGAACCAATAAATAAAAAAATTAATTGTATATACAAGTATGCTTCTATTGCGTATTGACATTTAAAATTTGACATTTATGAATGCTTTTATTTTGACTTATACATTTTAATTATTACATATTTAATTGTGAGAACATCTTCTTTTTCAACAACACTTTAAAATATTTTACAAATTATTAATATTTTTTTCTTTTTATTATTCGTTTAACATAACAATAAAAGATATTTATTTGCAAAAAAAAAAAACAAAAATAAAACATAAATTCTTAAAAATTTACCGATATGTGTGTTTGACAGAAATTATGCATTAAATTGCTCATGAAATAACTAGTTTCTTTTTAATCTCATACGGCAACCATATATGTAAACTATTCTATTGTATAATCTAATTTACAAAATTTTTCAAAATTTAGTGACTTTCGTAATAATGTCATTTTTAACTACCAAATAATTTTGTTTTTTTTTTTTTTCATTAAAAGATTTGAAACTTTGTCGTTATGTAATTAGAAATCATTCGAAAATAAATCAAAGGGCTAAGCGCACTTCTATTAAAATTTCTTTTTCCCTTTTTTCTTAAAGAACGTTTATGGGCATGCCTGCTTTTAAAAAGAAAAGTACTTGTGCTTATTTGTCCACAATACTTGCATTTTACAAACGGTATGTAATTCATGAGATTTTTCAATTAATTATTTAAAACAATATTTAAAGTTTTTTTTCAATTAATTCATTTTCTCAAATATCTTAATTTTTTTTCCTATTTGTTTGTTTTTTTTCCTAATGAGATGTAGTCTTTTTTATTTTTCTCAACTGTTTCAATTTAAGAAATTTTTCATTTTATATTTATAATTTAAACAATTTAAATTGAATAGAATAGAAACAAGTTAAAATTCATTTAAACAAAAGGAAATACTTCTAAAATTTTATATTTGAATTGATTTAAAAAAAAATTTTTAAAATAAAGTATCTAATTTGTGTGTAAATGAAATTTATGGCAAACTTTTTTTGGAACAAAATTACATTATTTTATCAACTGTAATCTTACTAATTATTTAGTAAAAAAAATATTTTTATCAAAAATTTGAAAACAAAGAAACAAATTTCATTTTATTAAATAATAATTATTAAAAATATAAAGATTTATTAAACTTATGAAAAAAAAAAGAAAATATAGGCATTATTATTTGTTTGAATAAAATAAAATTAAAAAAAAATCATAAAAATGTATCGAAAAACATGATATATGTATGTAATATATGAATAATAAATAATTTAAGAATAAAAATGAAAATATGTGTAATGTTCTTCTTTGAATTTCGATAATACAAAAATATGTATACTTAATTAATTTTATTTTAATTTTTTTATTTATTAACTATGTTCAAGTGTTTTTAAATGTATGAAAATAAAAATAAAAAAAAAATAAATGTGAAAATATATACGATTTGAAAAAAATGGGATATAGAAAATCAAAAATTAATGAAAATTAATTTTTAAAATATTTTACAAGCAAATAATTTTAGTTTGCTGTCTGTAAATTATAATCACTACAGTTTATTTAAATAACTAAATTTAGAACTTATATTTTGTAATAATCAAATTGAAAATTATAGTCGACTTATTTTATAAAACTTAAGTTTTTTTAGAAAATTAAATTCAAATTAAAATAAAATTGAAAATAATTTAATTACAATTGGCATATTTCAATAAATTGTTAAACATATAGCACTTTATGTCAGTTGGTAAATAATCAAATGACTATTTTGAGTTGTTGGCATCCCTGCAAATTTCGGTTTTTTTTGTAGAAATAGACGAAACTTGTCAATCGTTTATATTTTCACAAAAAAAATTTTCAGATGAATATTGTGTAAACTGAAAACAATTTCAATAAAATTATAATTTTTTTTTATACGTTTAAGTTACATTAATTTTTACAATAATATGAGAACATTGAGAACAGAGAGAAAATCACAGCAACAATCAGTTCTTTTTTTATATATTTTTTCTTTTTTGCTTCAAAAATTTATTTAATTTTTTTTATGCTAAAAATGCATAAAAATCGTTAAATAAATTTTTGTAAAAAAAATTATTTTGTTTCTTTATTTTTTTTTGTTTTGTTTTAAATATAAAACTAAGAACCTATTAAAAATATTCACTTAGAATCTAAAATATTCATTTATATATTAAAATTTATAAATGTAAATATATACAAATGTATGTACTGTATATAAAAAAAAAAATTAATAAAATTTAACAAATAATTTTCATATGTAAACATTATTAACGTTAACTTTTTTTTTTAATAAAACGAACAAAAAAAATTCTTTAATGAAAATAAAAAAAATGATTTTAAAATATTTAAAATCCGAAGTTCTTTAATTTAAATTAATTTAATTAATTTATTGTTCTAAAATTAATCGAAAATCTTTTCTAACACGCCATAACATTAATTCAAGGCATGCCCGACTATCTTCAAAACTACAATGACCCGAGTCACCGCCATTTTGTATATCACGATTTAAATAATATTTTGTTAAAGTTTTTAATGAACGGCGATATGGGAAACCATTAACATGTGGAAATGTTATTGATGTGTCAATAATATTCGTATGTAAAATTTTTAATGCTCTTAAGTCATTATCTAATGCATGCCCAATAAGTAATGTATCCTCATCAATAAATTCTAATAAATCATTTTGTACTTGTTCTAATGTTTTGACATTATTATTTTTTGATGTTATATCTTTTTCTGTAATACCTGAAAATCTTGTATTATAATCAACAATTTCGCATTTTGGTTTAACAAATGTTTCATAAACTAAATGTCCATCTGAACTAACAACTGTAATTTTTGTTACCTCTAAACCTAAACCAGTAAAACACATTTCACAATCTAATGCATAAACCTTACCAAAACAAACATCATCACCACCAACACAATTTGTAACACTATTCGTTTTAATATTAACATCATTTATATTACAATTCTTCTTATTATAAGAATTATTTAAATTTTTTGTTGATAATTTATTAGATGTTCTTATGAAATCATCATATGGTCCATTAATGCCAACTGTAATACCAGTCCAAACATGTAAGCGATTTTTAGCGCAACCAATTGAATATTGATCACCATTACAACATGAATATTGATATCCAAATGTTCGATTACTTGTATAAATCTGTTGTAGTTTACCCCAATGATAAAAACATTCTTCTTTTGTTAAGTACTCGCCATTTTCATCAACTAAAAATTCTTTTTTGCAACGAACACATTGTTTCTTCAAAGATTGGCTATAATTATTAAATATTTGATAACTGCCGTCTGGTGTATAAAATGTTGTTGTTGTTTCTTCTTCACCATTTTCTGATGTATCATCGGAATCGACAGATGCTGGACTTGATGTTTCACTACCATTACCGCTGTCACTTGATTGCATTTGCATCATACATGCATCGTCATTATCATCGTTATTATTATCATTGCTACTGTTTGTTTTCCATTTTTTATAACCAGGTGGCGCAATCAAACCATCGCTTTTATTAATTATGTCACTACGTGGTGTTGTTGAACGATTATTGCTTACAATTCCATTGGTTTTAAAATGTGTAAATGGTCTTGGCAAACATTTGAATATTTCAATGGAACCCTCATAAGATGCACTTTCAACCGGATAACCATAAATACGTAATAAATTTGGATCAACAATATAATAACGTAAAAATTTCACCAATTCGGATTCTTGTAAATTTAATTTCATATGTTGACGTAATGGCGGAATAACAGCTTGAGAAATTTTTATAAAATGATTAAATTCACAATTTTTTTCTTTCTGAATCATTTGATGATTATTATGTTGATGATTTACATTGGTTGTAACATTACTTTGTTTACCATTACCTTTTGTGGAATTTTTTACAGATTTTCTTAAAGAAGATTTTTGCTGTGGTGACGCTGTTGGTGATGAATTCGGTGATGATGATGATGAAAAATTTTCTGATTGTTCATTGCGCTGATTATTTTTATTATGATTATCATCGTCTATATCAATATTATGTTTTGAATGATTTTTTCGATTATGACGGCGATTACATCTTGGCTTTGATTTTTTATTCTTCGTAACATTTGTAACGTAGGATACTGAACTGTCTTCATTACTGCTACTGTTATTAATATCTTCAGTTCCACTTCCGGTCGAATCTGTTGATGTACTTTCTTTACGTCTATCACTTCGTATCACACGATGATGATGTTGATGGTGATGATGATGATGAAGTCCATTACTTGAACTACTGCTGTTTGTAGCTTTATTAAAAAGAAAAAAGAAATATAAAAATTTACAAATGAATTCAAATTTCTGACTTTAAAAGTGTAATAACAGTAATATTAAATGAGGTTAATGCTAAATATGAATTTATTCGCACTTATTGAATTTTAATGAATATGAAATATAGTGAAACTTTAAAACATAGAGCGTTTAATTTAAATATTTGCTTATTTATATAGAAAAAACTTCTCTAAAATTGCTATTCCAAATTTTCCTAATATTCAGAATTGTAACCTTATCAAAAATTATATGAAAATATAGCCAATAAATACATAGATAAATATTACTGAAACCAAACCGTTCGCAAAGAGTGTTAGTCTATTTTAAATTCATTATGAAATTTCGCTTTAAACACGTACATTATTTAAAGATTTATTTCTTATAAAGTAACAAAACAATAATAATTTAATATTCATTTATAAATTAATTAATTCTATTTTAATTATGAATTATTAAAATCACTTTAATACCAACTTATATTAACACCATATGATCACAAACTTTTAAAATTTAAATTTAAAACTTGCTTAAAACTAAAATGTAACTTTTGCACTGTGATCTCGGTTATCCCAATTTAAAATTAAGCACACTTTTGTGAATTGTGGTTTTGTTAATTATTGTGCTATTGTATAAAGTACTAAAAATAAGTGTACATACATATATATATATACATATATAATTATTTTATAAAAATAAAATTGTATAATTTTAATTAATTATTAATTTTTTATGATTTTGCTGTGTTGTCTATACTTTTAGTTAATAAGCTTTCACCTCTGAAACTAGAATAAAAGTCTAAAACCTCTTTACAATAAATTGTGTGTTTGTGTGTATGTATGCATATTGAAGTGATTTTTCCAATTTATTAAGATGTATAAACAATTCCTTGGATTGCTTAATTCATTTATCCAACAAATTTTATTTTGTAGAAAAAAATCAACTTAACATCTATAAGGGATTACATAAATATTTAGATCGAAATGAAATTCCGTAAATTTAAGAAGTAATTGGAGAAATTAAACATTTTTTTTATTAAACCATTATTGAACTTCAAACTTAATGTTTTAATGTTAACACTTTTGTATGTTTTCATTTAATTTTAATACATTTGTAAGTATCTATGTGGCAACATATGCTTTAAAATATATATTTTTTTAATATTATTCAGTTTTTTATGTGAATAATTCCAAGATTTCCATAAAGATGGCGCCATATAACCATTTATTATCAGATTTTTTTTCATTATCAGTTTTTTGTGCTTCCTTCATTTGAAATATTCAGAATATTTTATTTTTATACAAGTACATAATAAATATTTAAAAATAAATTATAATACTTAACATACATATTTACTATTCATTAGTACGTACAAGTGTTCATATTAATTTTTATTTAAAAATAAGAACTTGCTTGTTTTTTAAGTAGCCAATCACCTCATAATACGAGTATTAATTAATTCCCACAACGTTTTAGTTTTTTTCTTTTGTTTTTTGTCTTTCGCATAATGAAAAATGAAAGTGTTAATATTCTGCAGAGGTGCTTGAGAGAAAAAATAAAAGTTTTTTTTTTATTTTTTTATTATTTGTTTACACAAATAATTATGAGATGAAAAATGGTCATTGAAATTTTCGTATTAAATCGCCGCTAAACGCTTCTCCAATTGGAATTTTAAAAATTGTACTCGTCAATTTTGTTTTCTTTAGGTAATTATGGTATTTTTAATTTTTATAAACTTTTCCCTAACATATAATCAGCTTGTGTTTTCTGAATTTGTTCACAGTTTTGATTGAGTACACCATTTTGTTTTATTATGCAAATAAATTTCGAGTTTGTTGCGGTAAGTAAGGTTATTATAAAGATTTTTAATCTCTTCTATGAATTAAAAATTATTCTCATTGTAATATACATACATGCATGCATACATACATACCAAAATCATGTTATGCAATAAAATATAATTGAATAGATTTAGCATGAGGACAAAAGTTAAAAAACGGGTTAATAAAATGCTCGAATTCGGTGGTTAATTAAGTGAGATAAAATGAATAATTGAATTCCCTGATGCTGGGGCATTTACCGTTTGTTTTTGTTTTTATGGAAATTTGGGAAAGTTTCAGAAAAATAAAGACATGAAAATTGAAATTTTAATTGGAAAACTCCAAAGAAGGTGGTTAAAAATTTTGTTTTAGAATCTAGATAATAATTAAGTTTTTCAGCAAGATATATTTGTACATACATATATGCGTGTATGTATGTATATATAAAATTTTATCTTTCTATCTAAAAAACATTATTTTCCAAATTATTGGAAGCACATAAATGAGACAAAATATGTATATTGCTATTGTATCAGATGGGATATCATAAAAACATTTTATTAAATTTTTAAGGTTTAAATTCATATTTTTTAAATAAATAATTTCAGATGCAGTATAGTAAAGAAAATTTTAAAATTGTTTAAATTTAATTTAACGTCTAATTACTATAAATTTTAGTGAACAGTTTATAAAATTTTATTTCCATTTATGTATACACGTATGTATATAAAAATTACATTTTATCAAAATATAATTTTGCTATGTATGGTGCTTGTACTTTAATAGGAGATTAACTACCGGCATAAACAGGTACAAACTAGTTATTTTGAAAATATAAGTTGTTATGGTGCTGATTATAGTGGATTAAAAAAAATTTTATGTGAATTTTTCGTTTTTGTTGTCTTTTGATAAAGTTTTATATTAAATTTATATATTTGTGTGTAAATATGTATACACGTATGTAGGTATAAACCACCATATTTAGTAATAATTACAGTACATAATTATTATTATAATTAATACAATTAATAAATTTTTATGAATATAGAATCTATGATAACTTATGGTTAAGTTTGTATATTTTTATTTTTGAAAAGAATTAATTGATAAGAATTCAAAAGAAATAAAAAAATTTTGATTATAAAATTAATTCAAATGAAGTCAATATTACTTCAACAGTTTAGATATTGGGTCACACACAATTCCTGTTTATTCGTTTTCTATTATTTTATAAAATTTGTTATTTAATTGGACGAACCTTGACATTATTTAATTATAAAATATTGTTTTATATTAAATGATCAACACGAATCTACTTCATATAAGGAAAAGATATAAAAATTATTGTAAATAAACAAGATACTATATTGCTCTTCAAAGGTTTCGTATATTTTCTTCTGACATTTTTGTACTAAAACTTTAAAGTAGCTATTGGTAAATACAATTTAAAAAAATAAATAACTAATATTTATTTTAAATCGTTAAGTACATTTACCTTGGTTTGAAGATCTGTTCTTCAAAAGTAAGTTGAAAAAAAAACAAACAAAATTTTTAAATAACTTTGAACTTGAACCCCAATTTTGAATTTAAGTTCAAATTGAATTCAAGTTCTTGCGTTTGAATTCGAAAGATGTTTGATACAAGTCAATAATTTTTTAAAGGATTAAATTACAACCAAAGTATTTAATTTTATTATAGTAATAAATTATCAAATTATTTGATACAAAAAAAAACAGCAAAATAAATTTAAAAGGAAAAATTAAAATTATAGGTTTATTTTACAAATTAATGATAACTAAATAAACCTACATATATAAAAAGTGCCATGACAATCTTTCAAATTATGCATACTAAAAATAATTTTTTGAGAAAATTTGAAGGACAGCTATAAAGTATTACTCAACGAAGGGTAATAATATGTAACTATTTTTCCAATATTTTTAATTGTCAATATATGAAACCGTAAACTGGCACGAGTTATATACTAGTACCGTAAACTGATGCCAGTGATATAAATAAATTGCGCCAAGGTAGAATTTGGTTTGGTTATTTTAAAAAAAAAGACTATACATAATTTATGCAAACTTGATTGATATTTTAAATTCATAGCAAAGAGATTAACAACATATGTACGTATATGTATGTATGTATATATATTGATGTCATATTTTGTAAATTGCAATTATAAATTTTGAAATTCTTTAAATTTTTATTTTGCATAGGTAAAAAAATGAACTAAATATTGTTAAAAATTCTTATTCAATTCATATTCAAATATTTATTTTTATTTATAATCTTGACATTTTCAAATTAATTTTTGACAATTATTTGTCACTTAATTAAATATTTTAAATACACAATCAATATGTACATACATATGTATGTATAAATAAAAACCTTGAATGCTAGTAACACTTTACAACAAATTTATAATAAATATTTCGATTCAATTTTATTATATTATGCTCATAATCATTTTTCATTAATAATCGATTTGAATTTTATTTATGTAAAAATTTTTTCTTCATATTTCAAATATTTTATGCAACCAACCATTTGTATTTTAATTTAAATTCCAACCTTTACAATTTATTTACATATTTTATATACAATTATGTGTCAAAAAGTATGTCGTGTATACATGAAAAATTTATAATTTATGTCATCATTGAAAATATGTATAGCGCCCATTTAAAATTTTATTTATGCGATAGTTAGTCTTTGTTTTCTCAAAATAATTCTATCAATTCATGAAAATTGTAAAGCTTATTTATTAAAACTAAGCATAAATTTTGATATTTCATTAAACAAATGTGCCGATACTTTAAAAACTCAACATTTTATTGAGTAAACAGTAAAAGGAATTGCGATTGTAACTTTCATGGAGGTTGTAACTTTCATACATACATGTGTGTAGGTATGTACTTCTGTTGAAGTACGGTCTCGATTAAAGTTATAACTTCAACAATTTTTTGAATGCAAGCGAAAAATTTTTTTGGCAAAATATACATACATACACATTTTGTCGATAATACGAGCGCATAAATGTGTTAGTATTTTTATGTAAAAGCGTTCAGTTAAATTCAGTAAAATTAATATGTAAAGGATAGGTCTTTAATTTAACAAAAAATTTATTTTCGCATAATAAATTTAAAATTTGA